CCGATTCTCTGGGTATAGTAGAAATCCTAAGTTGTGCAGTCTGTAGATTAACTGGTTGCTTTATGTATACTATGGTGATGCAGTGTTGGAAAAAGCTTTTCGTCCCAACAGCTGTTCCTATCCCCGGAACTGCGAGGGCGGCTGGTCTCAGGCTGAAGCCGCGCGGTCGCAAATCTGGCTTCTCACAGGATGGAACTCGAAATTGTTGGATAGTGTTTGCCTATGTCTTGAGGATGATATATTTCGGTGCATGTCGAGAGATTTTGCCGAGTTTCCGATTTAAAGAGTGGTGCAAGAAAAGGAACTGAGGTCGTTGAGCGACTCAAGAGTGGCACTGGCAGTGACAGATAATAAATGCTTATCTCATCGCAACTTGGAACGTTCTAACCCTAATCTCATTCTTTGAGTGTCAACCATCGCCATGAAGACATAATAAAGGCCCTTTCGACTGCATGTCTCTAACTGGCATTTTTTGTTTATTTCAGACAAACTAAGCCAGTGATTCAATGTCGATACAGCTCGACACGCAAAGGTTATTGTTCTTTTGTGACTTCCTTTGTAACAAATGGACTTGAAAGAGCTTTATAAAACGCAAGGAGAATATCCTTTCCCGCCCTTCTCCCCTTGGATGACTTGAACGATTTCCCCTTCTATCATCTTAGTTTTCGAGATGGACTGTCAAATCTGTGTTGAGGACTTGGGAGACAAGGCATATTGCTTACCCTGTGGTGCGTATGATCCATCTTTTATTTGCGAATGTAATCGATCGGTGCTGATTGTCTTTCAGGCCACCTTTACTGTGTCACATGTATCAATCGCCTGCAACAGCAAAACACACGAAATCGGTCCATTGAGTGTCCCTGCTGTCGTAAGGTTGCACCGTCAAGTAAGCTGTTCAATATCCTGTCCTAATCACTCAAGTGCGCGAGTTACATTTACCATGTGGCATTTCTATCAGGGATTGGCCCAGAGAATATTCGAAAAATCTTTCTAAATCCGTCTTCGCCAAAAGTCCAAGCTCTTCAAGTCCGTCTCCAAGAAGCTGAAAAGGAGCGTGACAATGCGCTTCGGGTCCTTGGGCGATTGTCCTCAACCAGAATCGACCCATTTATCCAAGCATTGGATACAAAGGACGCTTTGCTAGCCATTAAGAATAAAGAGCTGGAACAGCTGAAAGCCGAGTTGGACAAAGCGAAGGCTATGATAAATACAGTTCTGGAAGAGAAGGAAAGACAAATTCGTGAGGCCAGGGAGAACTTTTCGCAACTCACTAAGGAGTATCAGAAGGAAGCGTCTAAACACTGGAAGGCCAGAAGTGAACTTCAGGTGCGGGATGCTGAGATCACGAAATTGAACGAGGTTGTTGCTAGGTGAGTACCACAGCCTTCTGTCTTTGTTTGTGGTTGGCCATTGGGATGGTTCTTATACTTTTTTTCGTTTCTATTGACAGCTCCTCTCCCCAAGTTGGGACTGACGTCTGGACAAGCACTTATAACTTTCTGTATGACACGAAAGGGGTAAGGGCTGAATTTATTCATTTTGGAAAATTTCCTTCACTCATTGAACGCGACCAATAGGCGCTTTCTTTAGGGTTAACTTCGCCGCCGCCTATCCAAACTGAGTCTGCAGGTGCCCTCGAATTGAAGAATACCCAGGGCACTTCAAGGGTCAGTGTTAGCCTCAATTATTTTTTGCAATCATATTCAACGATAAGCATGATTTTGTAGCATTTTCCCTCTTCCCCCCTACGTTCGCCTCCAACCTCGACATTTGGCACTTCATCGTCGATAGTTAGCTCTGCTTCTATCCGCAAAGACGCCAGTCCTATAGATCCTGATAGGACTTTGGTTGATCATCCACAGGCCAAAATTTTTACATCTAGTTTCACTCCAGAAAGGGGATCCCGGCTTTCCTCTCATTCAAGTTCTTCAGCAAACATTGCTGGTCCAGCATCCGGTCGGGTGAAAGGTCAAACTACCACCCTTCCTCATTCTTCTCGGAAAGAAGTCACCCAAGTCGCCAAAGTCAAACCGAAGCCACCTAAGGAGAGAGCCCTGAAACGCGGGAATGAGATCAACTGGAGTGGGTATAGCCGTCCTGAAAACACGAGCGTCCCAGAGTGTACTGCGACGGATGGATGCCACGTATTTTCCGGAAAGGGCACAAACCAGTATGCAACTAGGTATACGTGTACTATTTGTCATTTTTCGTGTTCGGAGAGTCGGAGACCATTAGGGAAATTCTGGGAACGATGAAGGTCGGGAATGTTGTTAGTCTCCTGCTTTGGATCGGATTTGTGATATTTATATCCTCTGACCGACCATCATCAACTTTCAACACGAGTAAAGACGGGGTTTGCCCATTTTAAACGAAATGTATTCTATTTTTGAAAACGACTTCATTTGCTTCATTTGTTCGAAACAGTGGCTTATAACTACGACAACAATACACTGACAGACGTCGGAAAATTCAGAAGTACCTCATTCTCGTCGTCCGCTCTTTCTAACGTCACTGACTCAGAGAGCCGTCGAGCGGTATCCAACTGGATCCTCGTTGTTCCACTATCTAGAACTTGGACCGGCAGGCCCTGCCTAAGCGAGCCCATGAAATTATAAACCTTCTTAATGAGAACGAGGTTTCTGCTTATTATCTGACTTTGACTTGTCTGATGACTCTTGCGACTGACGCACTGGCACTGCAATTACTTGAGGCTCTTTAATTCGACAAATTGTTTCAAGAATCAAAAGCGCCTATTAGGCTTCGACATTCTGTGACTACTTGATATTAAAACAGGGATTGAAATCTGTACTCAGGCTGCTGCGAAAAATACTACAAAAACAATTGTGGTCCAAAAAGTTTCACCCCAAGTCAATATTTGTCATGGTGCCTCACCCAAGCCATTGGATACTTCCAACCGTGTCCTACCTCGTCTCTGCCCTTTGCAACGCGATCAAGGATTGCATAGACGGGAATCATAACCTCAGCTCCACGACCACTTGTGAGATACGTGAGGCAGATAGTGTCCTTCTCCTTGTACCAGGTGCTGAAAGCAAACATTTCTCCCCCGGACTCCGTCTTGCAGCCACAGTCGACATTGAACTCAGGACAAGCCCCAGAAGAGACCCATTCAAATTTGTCAGTCCACCCCATGCGAGCCTTGAATGCGTTGATCTTCTCCAAGGGCGCTGACGAAACTAGAACAAATGCAGTGTCGCGTTGTGCAAGGTGGATGGAAACACCTTGGAATTGATCTGTGAGGAAAGAGCAGCCATTACAGCCTTCTTCGTCTTCGGGGCCAAACATAAAGTGATAAACCGCAAGTTGGTTCTTGGTGCCGAAGAGCTCTTGGAGAGTCTTCTTTCCCTCGTTAGTTTCAAATGTATACGTCTTGTCAATTTTCAACCATGGTTGAGCGATAATCTCTTTGTAAAGCGCGTCGTTTTGTTTCATGAGGGCTTTCTCTTTAGCGAGCATAATGTTGTGATGAGTCTGCCATTCTTCTTTGGAAGTGACGACTTTATGTGATTTGAGGAGGTCTGGAGAAACGCTAGAAGTTTTATACTTGTTTGGGGATCAGAACGCGACGCACCAGCGGGAGAAATACCAGAGTCAGACATGTTACTTTCAGTTGGGATTAGGACTAAGGGCTGTTGAGATACGTGTATATCAGATTATAGCAGGTAAAATATGGGCACGGAGAAAGTAAGACCTTTTCATTATTTCGTACATTTATTTATATGTCTTAGTCTGGTTAAAACCCAGAAACTCCGCTTACCCACACATAGGGCAAATTAAGCCCTACGTTTAATTGTCTGGCATGTCTTCTCGACTTCGTGTGGCTCGAGGAACTCCGGTTAACTTAATTTACTTATGTAAAGCCAGTTCCGAAGTCCCAACAAAATGTTAGGGTTTGTTTGGTTTACTGACTGGTGTTGTCCTTCTAGTCTCCTAAAACAGACCTAATGATAATGTGATGACAATCGATCACTATATATAAGTTGTCCTTCTAGTATCATTTCACTACAGCAAAAACGAGTTGGAAGGGGCCACAGCCCGGGATATGGAGGGACAGCAGGTCGTGGTGAAAATGGCCACAAAATCTCCCTCCGGACCCGGAATCAAGCCCGGCTTTGAAGAAGGATAAACGCCAATGTTATTCCCTAAGCGAGGATTCGTTAACCAATACGCTGAGTCCCTGAACCTATCAATGGACCTTGTGCCTCATGGTTGCTATTTAGAAATGAGAAAGATTGGGTACCCGTTAACTTGATCGTCTGCAACATTGGATAGACCAAGGTCGAATGACTTCTTCGCCGGAAGGTCCAATTACAGTCCGTAAGATATCTTGTTTGGGGCATCCCTTCTAAAGTGACTGAAAGCTAACCATCTTCAAGAGATCAAGTATATGTTTGCCTTCGATCTGCTGGTGGGCCTTTTTTCCAACTGTCGCAAATTGTGTCGGGGAACAGGTCATGAATGGGCTCATACTCGTATTATAGGCATAAAGACCATCATAAGGTAGTCTTTCCTTCCAATATGGCCGACAATTTATTTCAACTGTACATGAAAGATCACAAACACCTTATGTTTGCTCTAATTCGCTAAAGATGCCACACCCTGAAGCTGCGTGAATGCTATCAGTATCATTAAAGCCATGGTTGCCGATGATGACCTGGACAACCTCCGGCTCTCTGAACAACTCTTCAGGACTGCTTACTGTCTTGGATGATTTTTCAACAAGTGCAGGTATGTCACAGGAGTAATAACAGCATCGAGGACGTCGTAATGAACCTTTATGCTCTTCAAAGTACTTACTTTTGCTCGTGTTTTCTTTTTTTTTCCTTAGAACCCTCAGATCTCCTGGTGTCAAACAAGGAAAACCTGCCGTGGATCTCCTACCCGTGCTTCACAGGCGACTTTTGAGTCGATCTCAAACCTCAAACCTCAAAAATACAAGAAAGTCAAGGTAACCTTACGACTGACCATCAACTTAAGTCTAACGGATGTTCATTTGGCATGGCAAAGTACGGTATTACCTATACTAGTGATACCTGCTCGAAACTCTGTCAATGCAGGTCGAGAAATTCGCCATAACGCTATTAGCCATCTGCAGCACATTCTCCTGGCGTATTCCCCAACAAGCGAAAGAGATCAAAAACAAGTTGAAGAAGTGTTCAACCGAGTGGTATTCCCACTGATGGACAAATTACTCAATCCATAGGTTGCATCGCGCGATCCACAGGGCATGGGTGAAACTCGCTTGAGAGGATCTGCTCTATTGTGCAAGGTTTTCATGCATCTGTAATTGCGCAAAAGTAGAGCGAAGGCGGACTTCAGATTGCTCTGGATCGAAGGGTTAGACTTCCTTGACAGATTATTGCACGTAGACAGAGGTGATGCTAGTACGGCTCATTTTGTCATGTCCTCACAATAATCTCTGATAAGTATTCTAGTATGAAGCAGTTCCAGAATCGTCAAAGAATGGCCTTTTGGCAATGAAACCTATTGGGATTATGGTACCCGAGTCGGACCAAGATGCTTCAAAAAAACTTTATGGTTGAATACACACGAGGGAATGGAGCGCTTTCTACCTGGTTTCTCACTGATATCATCCCGATACCTCCGTCCGATATTGCCCCACCCTAAGTCTGGCATATCGTAATGAAGAAGTATACGTTGCAGGGAATCCATGAAATAATTTTTTCATTTTGTGAATTGCATTTTGGAGAGTCTATTGTGCTTCAATCAACAGAACATCAAAAATTTTATACACGAAAGCGGCACTAGCCTGACGCGCCTATCTGACCCCTCCGAGATGGACTTCAAAACTGAATGTTCTAGATCTTAGCCTGATGCCATGGCCTTCCTGAATTCCGTTTTGCATGGTGTAAGTATGTAAATGTTCCTAGATAGAAAACGGATACTTTTGTGGTGAGGGTTAGTCGGAAAATTGATTTCCGAGGGTGCGAGCGCTTATGTCACGAGAAGTAATGTGTTCGATTTTTTTAGAGAAGTAAATGTAGTAAAGAGACTTGTCGAAAATCTCTTTTTTACCAGCGCTGTTGATCCTAAGAAAATTATCCTGTTTAATTATTTTTTTAGATCATTCTAACTTTCTTTAGATGTTTTCATTCTTCATTTTTCTTGCGCGAACCCGTTCCTGCCCGTACTCCTTTTCCTGTGTGACTTTTCCCAGAACGGGAAAGTCACGCGTGACATGTTTCTAAAACGGCAAATCGTTTTTCGTGCGTGCGCTTGCTCGTGTGAACGAACTCCGTTCCTTACAATGGCTTCGAGCAGTGTTCAAGCTTTGGAACGAGATCACCAGAACCTCTGGTTCAAGCGTCCCGTTTAAACAGATGTTTGATCAGTTGATACCGTGTTGTCTATGTAGATGGCAAATTTTTGAAACGCAACCCATTATATATTTATTACACAACCACAGTACTTCGAGTGTAACTGCGATAAACCAAACCGCTCCTAATCGCCGTGGCTCACCCACCGCACACGATACGCATATATATACAAAGGAGTAGAATAAACCCAATATGAAATGATAGGATGCTAGGAGTGGGATGTCAGCCAATGAGCTTAAGGAAAGATAGCTTTGTATCGAACCTATACCCTCAGACCTGTGCAGACATCTCCTTCACCTTATTGACAACATCCCTCAGGCGATTCGCCCCTTCCTGTTTGAGAACGTCACAGTCCCAGCGAGTGATGGGAGCCATGTCGGCAAGAATGGAAGGGTGGGACCGGAGAACTTGCTCTGGTTGGAGGACGTGGGTCGCCGAATCGTATTCATAGAATGACAGTCGAGTGCCAAATGCACTGATGCCGTGGAGGATAGGAATGGCTAAGATCTGCCTTAGATCCCTGAACTTGCGTCTCATCTGCTCATCGGCTTCTTCGCGTTTAGAGTCATAGGGAAATGAGGCAGGAGGTTTAATCTGCATGAAAAAAACAGGTTGACGACTGACCTCCACCACAAGAACAGCGCCGATGTCAATGTTCTCCAGAGGGCCATGTAGAGCTACACTCTTTAATTGTGGCACAATTTCATATGGGCCTTCGACAGAGAAAAGAGTGTAGAGAAGCCGTGTGAATGGACCATAGAATAGAGATTCATCGCGACCAGAAGGATCGCTGACAACAGCAGATTTGAAGGATTGATGTATGTACTCAGGCCATGGGTGAGAAGCTTCAGCCATTGTTGGGTTTATATCAAGGTGGATTCACTGCGATGGTTTAGCGACTTTAGCGATGAAGCTCATAAGTGTACATCATTGTCACAAGATCACAGGTTACGAGACACTTACAACTTACGTAAGTATCGTTTATATGTAACGGCATTACATGTCGGCAGGTACTCAACTGTCGACCTTTCGTAAGATGAGGATGGCGCTAAATCGTCTCGAAGCACCCAAGGAAGGGTTGGATGGGAGTGAAGAAATGGAGGAGAAATTTCACGCCATCTCGGACCATGCTCGGCTCGTGCACTAGAGGACATACTAAGGGGCGCCAGGAAACTGGCAAGAAACCAGTGCGTCGCATATTTCTCACATTATGTACTGTTGTTACCAATGATGCACCAAAGGTGGCTTTCTCAACCGTCGGGTCGGAAGACTTCAAGAAGGCAGGCGTCGCGAGCAAACATTGTAGTATGAACCAGGCTGCCACGCTGTCTAACGGAGCCTTCGAATTGGTGTTGATATTGGGATCAATCCCAAACAGTATTGGACTTGCTGTGGGTCGAACAGCAAGTCCTGTCTTCTGGAGTTTGTGGGGCCCGAAGCCATCGTAAGAAAGGGAATCAACGTTGGATGGCTTGTTGAAGGTGGCATGGCTTAGGGGGTGGCAGAGATAGACCACAAGGTGCAAAATTCGTCGCCCAGCCATCCTATCACGCTATTTTGAGCCAGGCACTGCGTGGTATTATTATAATCTGACATTTCAACAATTTTTGACAGGCCCGAAAACCCTACCACCTGTTATAACGGTGTTTGCGGTTCGTGGTTATCAACGATACCCTAATGTCGCGAAGAGATTGAGATATGTTTCAGGATCCAAGACGGACCAGACCCGGATATTTAACGGTCAACGGAGCACGGCAGACAAACGGCAGATATATTGACCTTGTGGAAGTCTCAAAATATGGCAGCGTGAGTAGGCTTTAGTTCGTGTCTGTAAATCGTGGCAAAGTACTTACTGTATCGCTATTTCAAGATCCCTGAAGCGAAAAGTAATTCGTCACTCGAACTTGGACCTACTCGACCTCGTACTTAACGTTATCCATATAAAAAGAATGGTTGAAATCGTGCTTGCTTCTGTGTACGCTCGCAGACTCCTCGTGTTAATTATGTTCGAATTCTATATCAACCACTACGCACATCTAGGCACACATATGTCATAAACTGAGATCTTAAGGCACGTTCTATCCGCTAATACCATCACCCGGAAAAAGTGGAATCTCTGCTGTCTTCAAATCACCAAATGATCCTGGGTGCTTGGGTTGCAGTATGATCATCAATATCATCGTATGTATATAAAGAGATCCTGGTCGAACGAACTCAACACTTGTGATCCAAGATGCCCAGTTGGCTTTCTACCTTCGTTATTACAACGATTCTCTATGCAGTTGTGGTACGGAACAGTGTCTATACGTTCCTTTACTCTAAGACTTACTGGTTTCATTTATTAGGTCAATGCAGACCCTATCCGAGTTCTGGAGGTTCGACAAAATTCTTCTGACCCCAATGCTATCCTCCCTGGTTGGGACCGAGTTGGTTGTTTTGTGTAAATTTCATTCCTATTCTGAGAATATGCATTCATAATATTAATGGGGTGAACATGTTCAGAGATGAGGGAGGAATACGTGTTTTGCAGGCAGCTTCCTTCAGCAGTGCGAACATGACACCCGCAGCTTGTATGACTTTGTGTACCCCTGGAAACTTCGCATTCGCTGGAGTGGAGTTCCACAAAGTATGTTTTTTTACTTATTCAGAAGAATGAGGTTGATAATTTGTAATCATGGATAGCAATGCTGTACGTTAATAAACCATGATCCATGCCTTTAATTGTGTTGAGGGCTAACGGCTTATTTATTTTCACTTGCAGTTTGTGATTATGCAATGCAGAAAACCATTAGCGCACCAGACAGTGATTGCGATGACGCCTGCACTGGAGATAGTTCTTTGACATGTGGTGGGATGGGTACGATCACTGTATTCGCAAACGTGGCACCGGTTGCGATTCATCCGCGCAACAAGCCTTTCGTCAATACATGGCAATACAAAGGCTGCTTCTCGTAGGTTAATTCCATTTGCGCCTTTTATTTTTGTCAGATTGACAAATTTGGTTATAGGGATCTTGATGATGTAGAGCTAGCACCCGCCGCCCGCGATCTCGAGCGTATTATAGGGCTTTCCGGGCCTGCATCAGTGGAAACGTGCACTGCTGCCTGTAAAGAGCACAATTTTGTTCTTGCTGGGTTAGAAAATGGGGGAGAATGTTGTACGTATTGTTATGGCCTCAAAGTCGCAAGTACTTAACGCTCCAATCCTATAGGGTGCGGTAACGCAATGCTCGGAGGTGTAAAGGTCGCCGACAGCAATTGCCTTGTTGCGTGCAGTGGAGACCCTACAGAGTTCTGTGGATCCTCTGGTTCTAACAATGGCGAGGGCCACACTCAAATAACAATCTATGAAGATACCTCAGCACCTCCAGTCAATTTACAGACCTGTTTACAATCACAGATTGTCGGTACTGTCCTTCTAAGGCCTTTCTTTCAAAATGGCTCAGCGATTGCAAATGCATTGATCAGCGACATATCCGATTCGACTTTCCCTCCAGGTTTTACTATTTTATCTGTAAATTTATATTTCCACCCTGCCTCAAACACAAACTAAGAAATTGATTTTTGTCAAACATTTTAGGCCTGTACTGATTGCCATGACACTATGAACTTAGGGTCGATCACTCCTGGTGTTTTGAGTGGAGAGCGATCGGATTCCTTCATAGTGAATGTGGGGGATTCTCCAACGTTGGTAGGTGGAATTCCCAATATAACACCTTTCAATGGATACTGTTGGATGGTATGTGAATAGACACCTTCATTGCCCATTGGAAACTTCTAAATCAGATTCTATAGCCAAACCCCATCAATCCCATTGGCCCACTTTTTCAGCCTCTTTTATTAGGCGTTAATTCTCATGCAGATCTCTGGGCAGTTTGTCCAAATATTACTGCCAGTGGGCGTCTTGATCTTGTTTTTTCCCCTATTGATGGTCACCCACATTATCTGAAGAGTGATTGTGAAGCAATTTTCATAGAGACAGATATAGAGACGGGAGTAGCTATAGTCTCCTCACCTTGATAAAACAGATAAAATAATGGAAGGAAGGTTTCTAAAGTGGTATATTACAAGTTGTTTCAATCCTCTGGAAAGGTAGTCTGTAACAATATACTAGGGTTTCAGGCTGCTGCATTGCACAGTGATATGAGTCTTACTTTTTGTACTTATATTTTTATTATTTTTATTATTTTTCAATTATCAAGGGGGTCCCAGGATTTTAGTCTGTGACTCAAGGAGGGGGGGGG